TTGCAACAGTTAATTTAAGAAGTTTTAGTGTTTTACCAGCCATTATATGATAAATGTCCTGGGGTGACTGGAGATGTTGTTTACATTGAAGTTCATCAAGTATTGAAAACCATTTTTGTAGACTGTATTTTTTGGCAATGTCATTTTGTTGTGTAATCGTTGGTACTGCAAAAATATTCTCAAACTGAGTATTTGTAATGTGGGATAATGGGAAATGCTGGCAATATCTAAGTTTTCATCTGTTAAATTTTCTCTTGAAACTAAACATGTCCTGCATTCTCTCATTGCACCATGTCACTTTACTCCTACTAAATTATTACCCTGGAGGATAGGGATAGTAAAAAAAACAGGTTTAATCATTTTTCATTGATTTAAAACAACTGATGATTTAAAATATTTAAATCTGGATTTAAATATAGTTAATATTTTAATCATTACTTGTTTTTAATTACATAACAAAAAACTTTTGCTATCTTACTTGGGGAAGATCTGCTATAGTGCATTCAAGACTAGCAACGACCCAGTAATCATTTTCTTGGACATTTATTAGTGTCCCTCTCTCAAATTGCTTCATATCCGAGACAAACAGATGAATAAAATTATTAAAGTTCCCTCCAAAAGAGAAAACCCTAGGACAAAGTGGTTGTGTAAATGCTTTCTAACATCGAATGACATGTTTCCTAGTTGCACATAGACTCCGCCTAAAGAATGATAGGCATTCCAATATGTACCAAAATCATCATAGTAAAGGTCAATAAATAACTTTAAAATTTTAAGATGGTTATACTGTGGTATCGGTGCAATTAAAGTAGTATATTCACATGGATGCATATAATCTAAATTTACATTCTGTAGTTTCCAATGACCATTGTTTTTATACAAAATTTCTTTAATAAAAAGACCACTCAAAACATTTGAAGTGCGAACAATTGAGATATTAATCCTTTTAATAATTTTGTTTGTTTCAACTATAATACCTTCTTCTACCAAATATTGATTCACTAACCACAACTGTAATTCTTGCATAGCAGACCGTGCACTACTATGAAAGTTGGCAGGTAATTCGTTATATACATAAATCCGTTGGATTTTTATATGAAAATCATTGTTAATAGAAATTATTGAATGTATTCATCCAAATCTTCACTTATTATTTTCTTTATATATAATAAATTCTCCTGGATGATAATGTTCTGTCATTATAATTGTATTCATATTACAAAAAAAAACGTTATATAGTAAAAATAACATAAAATTTTAAGCAATTATTTTATTATCACACCTAATTATTCTAGTAGTAATAACTT